TTTTTAACCTTCTCTAAGCTATTTCTGCTTTTAATGACCATACTCTTCCCGATAGTTTTCTCTTTTCAGGCAGAAGAATCATTGTTTTTTTTCTTGTGATCATCCTTGTTCTCCTTCTCAGTATGTGTACACGCAGTGAGAATATACATGTATGTGTGTGCATGTGTATAAGTTTAAAAAAGTTAAGACAACACTTTGTCAAGGAAGGACCAGAACACAGCCTTTATGATGCCAACAGAGCATGAGTTTACACAAAATACAGTCCCTATTTTTTTTCTTTTCACAATTAATAAACATTACACTTTCGAACAGTGCTGTGCCTCCACCTAATCCTCTCGCTATCCATAGTAGCTTCACAATCTCCTTCCCAAGCAGTAATAACCATTTTAAAGTAAACTGCTAAATGCATAACGTTTGTTTCCTACCCCTTCGTTCTGCAGGCATTCCTTTCCATTTGACGTTTTATTCCATTGCAATTGATATGAGATTTTTTTCATGTAATTCTAAACAATTCAGTAGCCCCCTTTCCAAATGGTTTATTAATGTAATCAATAACACAACACAATATTACTGGAGGACTCCACGTGCAGCCACTTTCTGTTGTGAAAATGATTTCATTCTCACTAGACGATCCATTTCCAACACAAGACAACCCTGACGGGCAGTTCTGGTAACAAGGTGGAGTAGTAGTGGATGACTTCATATCTCAAAACCAGTCATAGTGTACTTTTATTCCAGCCATTGAAAAAATGACACTCAGAATTAACATACCCAGGTTCCCAAAGCCCTAGTGGTGCAGAATCTCTTTAACCATAAGATGCCTATAACTAATATGGTACATAGGCTTCAGGAAATGTAACTGCTATTTCTAAGGCAAGTACCAATGGTAACTGCAAAGACATATTTTGATTACTACGCATGAAGATATCATTATCTTCAGACAAAAGAAAAATCCTTTTTGTTTCCCCTATGGTTCCTTCCCATAGCTCAGAGAGATGACCTGCTCTGACTTAACCAGACAGATTTCCTTTATTGATTTCTTTCAGGTCAGTCTCTGTAGCAGACTTAATGTAGCTTTACCTCTGGCTCTAAATCCACCTGGACCTCAACTAGCCTGACCTAGCTACAGAATTCTGACAACTGAGACACCTGCCAACACATTGTAGAACAGAAATTTCACTTTAGGTTCCTAAATCTGCATCCAGACATTTACACAACAAATAGGAATATTAGGTCCCACAATGACTAGTCAGTATAGTTATCACTGAATTAAACATGACAGAAATTATGGGCACCCATTTAGTGTTTCTTTTTAATAATAACATTTCATTATTCATTTGGCACAGTCATATATGAATTATATCTCCAAGGATATTTCAAAATGCTTTGGCAAGTCCTTGAAAACAGCACTGCAGTATTTCATGGACATTAAGTTTTGAAGTATCAATCAGCTTTCTGGAAAAAAAAAACAGCTTTCAGTCACATTACTCAAAATACATCATATTTTAAGTGCCGAGACCAACAAAAGCATTGAATCCCAAGTACTCCCTGCCTGAGGTGTTCTGCTGGGTGAGAAAATCCTGGGGAGACCAGCAGCAGTCAGTTCACAATATACACCATTCTCAGTTGTGTCCAATCCATAGCTCTACAAACTCAAGTTATCAGCATAGCTGTGTGAGAATAGCATTAACACATGTTCTCAGCCAACACTGCACCTTTCTGCATCACCTTCAAGAGTTGCTCCAGAACATTCCTGTACTTTACAACTTGCACCTTCCCACAGGCTGAAGATCTGACTGGACAAGTGCCCAGCTTTTTCCTTCCCTTTTTTCCTCCTCTTGTAAAAGGTCCCATCTGGTTCCCAGTGTTCTGGGTGTCAGTTACTCTGAACAGGTTAAAGGCACACACTTTCTTGTTTTCCTAAAATCAGCCAGGCTTTGTGACGGACAGACTTCTCTTAGATGGGAAGGTGCCGTAAATGCAGGACCTCACTGTGGGAGAGCAAGTGGGGTGGGGGTGGGAGCGAAGTTACTGTCCTGAAACGGTGCAGTGTTATTCACCAAATCAGTTCCTTTTCCCAAATTACAGCAGAATAGCAAGTACATCATTACTGATTCAGGAAGCCAAAAGGCTGCTTTGTCATGAAATGATCTTCATGCCTCAAGCAAGCATTTTCCCTGCCCTAAATGCTTATTTATAATCTTGCTTACAGAAAAATACAAGCTGTACTGCACAATAAGTAAGAGCTCTGCCATAATTGCTCTGAACCTTAGGGTCTGGCAGTTCTGTCCTGTTGTGTACAGGCAATCAAGTGCTTGTCCCACTTTGGGAAAGATACCATAAATGCTAAGCTAGCTGGAAGATCATACCTAGTATTGATAAAATCATTAATCAACATAGGGAAGTTGTAGTATGTTTTACTATGCTACATCTTTTGATAAAGATGTTTAGATAAAAAAAAAAAAAACCTTTATTTGAACTTACCATACCACCTCTTGATGGGCTGAGGCACAGCAGAGGATTTTTTTGGGATGGAAGGGTTCTTAAATAGTAATTTATGAAAGAATTCCAAGGTGCATGGACAAGTAAGGTGATTTCAGGGGTGGCATGTGAGTTAGGTGAAAATGGCTAACTCTCCAAATGCACATACAACGATCTACACAGAGCCTATCTCCAGCACCATTACTTTTTTCAGGCTGCAGGAAGGGTTAAAGCTTTCAGAAAGGCTCGACAGAGCAAAATTAAAAGTTGACTGCATTCTCTACCCATATATTTAAAGCATTAAGGTGGTTTTCTTGTTGAGTGTTAGAAGTTGCAAACCTGGGAAAATTCAGCATTGATTATCACAAGAAACCAAACACGTAGGTCTTTGTCCTCCTTCTTCTTCAAAACTTGACAGGTGAACTCTAAATTCTAACTAGATATCATCACAAACATAGAAATCGCAACGTTCAAAGTCCTCAGACTTCCTTATCATCCTTTTTATAGCGGAGTCTATGGTCACTTGAAACATACTGCCAAACATAATCCTAATATTAATTAATTTAAACCCATTATCATAGTTATGAAGTGGCTCTCAGAAAAATGATTCTCTTTACTGAGTACCGTAGTTTTGGTACTAATTCACTGTTCTTGCTCTATTGGAAGATTGAATCATGCTTGAACTTTCACTACACATATGCAACATTTAAGGTGATCAATACTTAAGCTGTTCATTTGCTGCAAACCATCGCTTTTTGGAACCTGCAGAGGTTGGGGAACATTGAAGCAGAAACATAACCATGAGGATGACAATATTTCTCTGAACTGTGTGATTCCAGGCTTGCACAGAGTTCATCTACAAAAGGAAAGCTCAGTTTAGTTTAGTACCTGTTTTTGATAAGCCCGATATTATATAATGAAAATTAGGAATTGAACTCATTAGTGATTCTGTTCTGCTGTAACACCAGGTTTCGTACTTTTGACCAAGTTTCTGTAAAGTGAAGCAATTGGCTGTGACATTAATTTAAAAAATTTAAAAATCTTTAGTTTTTAAAATCCCAAACACTAAGGGAGATACAGTTAGAATGGAGAATCATGAGGACAAGGCATAGCATGTTTTAGGAAGGCTGGTTTTGGCATACTCTTTAAGATGGTTATACTGAATGTATTTCAGGCACAGTTAATAAGAGACTTGACTTATAAACATAGAAACAATGTTTGTGGCAAAACAAGGCATGTCTGCATTTCATTATTTCAAGAGGCACTTAAGAAACTCCACTACTAATGACCTTGACTTCACACCAGCAAATAACTGGCCTGCATTAGTTCAGAAGAACAGCACACTCAGAAGTGGTAAAGAGTAAAACTGTAGATACTGGCTAGTTTCCCTGTGGGCTTGTATTTGACAACAGTGCACAGATGACATGAGGAAGCTCCTGTTCTCAGAGCACCCGCCGAGACAGGTGCCTGCTGTTTGCGCAGCTCCGTGCAGGAGGTAATGCCAGGGGACAGTTCAGCCCCCTGATTCAGGCTGTCAGGCACCCAATGCAGTGGGAGACCCGAGGGCGCTAACAGTGTCCTACGGCCGCTTCAACTCGCTCTGCTTTCAAACAAGAAGGACTCACATAACGTGTACCAGAACAGAAACCAACATTTCATTTCCTTCTATGAAAAGTACTCAGTTTCACTGCTTTAGACTCGGTTACCCAGACTGACTCATCATTAGCCAAGTATCTTGCAAAGAAATCTTACCACAGCATTTTAAAAGATTAAATAGGAAAGTTTAGGACAAAATGTTCCCGCTTGAATAGCTGAACCCCCCTGAAATTTCCTCAAGTTAAGTTTTTATCTTTACTTTCTTTCGGAATGTCCAAAAGTTGGTTCTCTCTCATGCATTTTATTCCATACAGTGTTAAAATATGAATTGAGCTAGTAATATCAGTATTATTACTACAGAGAAAAAGTACTGCTCTTAGGGGAGATGGGGTACAATATTTGATTTGTTAATACAGTTAGTTTCTTTTATACTTCTTTTAAAAAAGTGTAAGAAAACAAAACAAAAAAAAAAAAACAGGAACTGCACTGTAGCACTGAATGAAAGCAGGAATATTTTCACACCCACAGCCATACTCTGTGCAGCAAGTGCCATTCAATAGCAGCATTGCTCTCACTAACCCCATATACATGAGGACATTTCAACAGCATTACTGTTAAGCAGCAATGTCAGAACATTTCTGTAGGAGTTGAGAACATACCCTGTAATCAGACATTCCCTCAAATTCTTGTTGCACTTTGTACTCCTGTTTTAACAATGAGCTTTCAAAACTGTCCAAGACATGACAGAAGCATATTAATACTGTAAGATTTAGTAAAGTTTTAGCTTAATAAAAATATCACGTTATTTCTATTGATATTTCTTAATACATATTTCATTTTTAGTTCAGCTAATGCACAAGTCTTTTTTTAATTCTATGAAAATATCTGGTACATGAACAAAGAGAGACATGCTTTTTGCATACCATTGGTTTCTGCAAATTTCTGAATATCAGCCAGAGTTTTTAGTTCTTTCCTTGGGCAAGCTGATACACACAAAGCAAGAGACTTGATCCTCTGATGTACTAGATCAATGTTGCATGGATCCAAGAAGAACACATACCTAGGGAAGGAAAAAAGGTAAATTGCTTCTATTTTAATTAACAATTACACTGAACAAAATAATTTTCATTTCAAACTAAAGGATTCAGCCAAGACTAACCTTCAGTCTACCCAGAAACACAGGAAATTTGATATTATCATAATTGTGTGGGTCAAAAGAATTCATGTACTCAACATATGCACCACAAATATGTGGATATTTATATACTTCTGGATCACACAGAAAGAATGTTTAACTCTACCAGATTCAAGTCCATTCAAATGGTGCTATTCATACAAACAGCAGCACTTCTACCATGCCTCTTTACAGATATGAATCCAAACATTCACAAACAAAGCTTCACTCCAACGTTAAACTTGACTTCAAGATTTCCAACTTTTTCCAAGAAGACCCAACATACCCCATAAGGTTATACTTACGCTGCAAAAAGGACAAAGCCCATGTCTATTTTAATGAATACACGTAACATCAGTAATTAAGAACAGCTTTTTGGTTTAGATTGATTTTCCACACCACTGGTCCATATGACGGAGCAGATTATTTTAGTATTTATTTTGAAATAAAAATTGTTCAGATATTTCAAGTAGAACTATCTAATGTTCAAGTGCAGTATTTTAAAGAGATTCCATTTGCTAACTTTCCATAATGAGTCACTGTCATTTAAAAACCCAGTTATAGCTTCCTAGCTAAAACCACCTCCTGGCTATACACATTTCATAACAAACACTAACTCTACAGTATTGTCCATTTATTATATAATATAGATGCAGAATGTTTTTCTGTTCTGAAGTTGAACAAGTCTTTGAAGTTCCTACAGTCCTGGTGATATGCTATGCATTGAAAAACTCTCTTCATATTATCTATCATCATCACAGGAAAACAACACCAAACCGCCATATAAAATGCCCTTTCTATTTTTGCAGTCCTCATGATGGGAATTCATTCTGTAATCAATAAAAATCCCTTCTGCTCCTAGAAAGCATTTAGGTCCTGCCTGAACACTTTCAGTCTATACGTCAATTGCTGTCTAACTTTCCCCCACAGAAAGACTGTTCTATTATCCGGTCTCAGTATACAAGAATTATTAGTACTTAGTACAGTCTTACTTCCTGAAAAGTCCATCAAAACCCATGTCATCTCTATCAACTGTAATGTGACAATAGACTACTTGCATTCTTAAAACATTCTCTTTCCTTGTCCACACATCTATGAAAACTATCCAGTACTATTTCTGGTTTTTTACTTAATACATGCTACACATCTCAGGACTCCACAGATCATGAAAGTCTAAGAAGCAAGGGCAAACATGAAAATTTCTGTCCCGCACACACAGCCAAAGTAACTGCATGTGAGCAATAAGCCACTAATTCCACAGTTCTCCTTTACTTCAAAGAAAATACTCCTGAGTTGACACCAAGACACAGTACTTGTGTTAACTGGACACTCCTGTTATAGCTTCCTCTTCATGAGGTCAAATTCCTGCAGTTGCTATTCCAAACCATGAGGGTATGTGGAAGGAGAGTGTCTGCTCCTTTGAGGGTACCTGGTCAAAAGAGCTACAAACAAGAACCTACAGGTCAAATCTGAGTGACATGTCATAAGGGAGATTGTGATGGGAACAAACCTGGTCAATGTGGAGTGAGAGTATTCTTATCTTTCAGTAAGGTTATCTGGGTAAGCACCTTGCCAAATTGTGATGATAAGGAAAAGGAGACATAAAACTTAACCAATTAGCGTCAATGAAAACAATAACGGGAAACAAACTCAGTCAATCACAATAATTGATGGGTTATCAAGAAACTGCAGGCAGGGACTTTGCAACTGATAGCGATGCAAACCCGAAGGCGCAGGATGCAGGAGGGGTCAGTGGGACTGTGCCAGTTGCTGAGGGAATGTGCACAGGACAGGATTCAGGGAGGAAAAAAAATAGCGGGGGCAGACAGAAATGGGTGTAAAAGGAGACAGTTGCATGTAAGCCAGTGTTGGTCAGTACATTGGTCTGACCGAGCCCAGCACCTGATCGCTGCAATCTGTCCTATCCTTTCACTAAATCCTTTCTTAACTCTCTCTCTCTGCGTAATTCCAGTCTCTATCCCACGTGCATGGATGCTGCACGTGCTGCAAGGACTAAGTGCCAGCTACTAGGGGGACTGGTGTGATGGATTTAGTGCCAGCACTGCAGTCGGACCAGGGGTGCAGGTGTCCCAGGCCTGTGGTGTCAGCTACCAAAGTGAGTGGGGTCTTAGTGCCAGTAACTGGGGCAGGGAGTGGTCTTGGCCACGAGCCACTGGGGTGGGAACAATGTGTGTTCCAAAAAAAAAACCAGCTACAGAGGTGAAGGGCTCAGTGTAGGTGGCTGGAGCAGGATCACCGGTCACAGCCCATGTGGTGCTGGCTGTTGGCAGAGGCTGAGCATCTGTACCTACCCCAAAGCAGGTGTGCACGTGTGTAACTCACCAGCAAACTCCAAGCTGTACCAGCTGGTGAACAGGAGGCCCTGGGTCCAGGCAGAGGTGTCAGGCGGGCAGAGGGTCTGTGCCAGTATTCGGGGAAACCTGTGAGTGTGGGGTGCCTGTGGAATGAGTGTGTGAGTGTTTGCTATTGAGTACCAAGCCGGACCAGCTGCCAAGTAGGGGGGACCCATGGGGTGGGTAAGGGGGCCTGGGATCGGGGCAGGGGTGCCAGGTGGGCAGAGGGGCTGTGCTGGTACTCGCAGGATCCTTGAATGTGTGCGTGCTTGTGAACCTGGAGGACGTCATGTGTGTGCGGCGCTAGAGAACTTCTGTCTCTGCCAGCCCATGAGGAGAAGGGGATGTGACTGTCTGTGCTTGTGTTTACTTAAGTCCTGCATTGTGGGTGCTGTGGACGGCAGCACCTCATCAGTGCCAGTCCATGTAACCAGACGCATCAGTGTCCCATGTATGTCTGTCCATCCACATCCCTCAGCCCAGGCAAAGGCCCTGGGTCGTGGGATTCAGTGGCCGGACAGGAGGCTCCTCCTTAACATGTATTACCTAAGAAAACCAAGTCAGAAGTGTCAGCATTAACAAGCCAGAATCCAGCCTGGCTGGATTCTACAGGGATTTAAACTCAAGGGCCAAGCTGTAATTTTAAATGGCCAAAAGAAATCAGAATATTTTATAAAATAAACACTACAATTTTCACTCAAGCCTGGAAATTTAGAAATACAATGTAACTATATTGCCATATGCAGTTTTGACAGAAGTGTGCTGTGTTGGCACACCCTTAAACAGACACGTGTAATTCAAACACCGCATTGCATGGTTCAGAGACAGTTCTGCCAGCAATAAGGCAGCTGCAAAGCAAACTCCAAGCTATCAAATCTGTGGCTTCAATACAGGGTCTAGGAAGACAGAAGTAAGATTTTTTTTTTTTATTATTTCTAGCAGCTAAAACAAGAATCAAAATACTAGGCACCAGGATTACAGAGGAAAAGGTATTTTGGGTTTTGTTTTTAAAGCTTACTTACTGAAAGCAAGTGATTTTACTCCAGAAAATTCCATACTGTGTTACCACAGAACAGGTTTTGTTTCACACTAGAAGAATGTACTTACATGCAATTTCCATTATTTAGAATCAACAATAGACTAATTTTTTGATAAGAAAGTAACTTAAATCAGAAATACAAAGACTGAAGTAAACAAAGTAATCATATTGTTAGAGACGCTTCAGCACCGCAAATGAAAATTTGCTTCCTATAGGAAATTCAGTATATCAGATTTACAACCTAAGAAGCACCTTTATGCATCTTTATGAAGTATCAGCCCTTCGGAGAAGGACTTGTGGGTCCTGGTGGATGAAAAGCTGGACATGAGCCAACAATGTGTGCTTGCAGCCCAGAAGGCCAACTGTATCCTGGGCTGCATCAAAAGAAGCGTGGCCAGCAGGTCGAGGGAGGTGATTCTGCCCCTCTGCTCTGCTCTGACCCCACCTGGAGTGCTGCCGCTCTGGTGAGACCCCACCAGGAGTATTGCGTCCAGCTCTGGAGTCCTCAGGACAAGAAAGACATGTTGGAATGGGTCCAGAGGGGGGCCACAAAAATGATCAGAGAGCTGGAACACCTCTCCTATGAAGAAAGGCTGAGAGAGGTGGGGTTGTTCAGCCTGGAGAAGAGAAGGCTCTGGGGAGAACTTATCCCATCCTTTCAATGCTTAAAGGGGGATTGTAAGAAAGATGTAGGGAGGCTTTTTGCCAGGGCCTGTAGTGATAGGACAAGGGGTAACAGTTTTAAACTAAAGGAGGATAGATTTAGATCTAAGGAAGAAGTTCTTTACTGTGAGGGCGGTGAAACACTGGACCAGGCTGCCCAGAGAAGCTGTGCATGCCCCATCCCTGGGAGCGTTCAAGGTCAGGCTGGATGGGGCTCTGAGCAACCTGGTCTAGTGAAAGAGGTCCCTGCCCATGGCAGGGGCACTGGACTACATAATCTTTAAAGGTCCCTTCGAACCCAAACCATTCTACAGTTCTGTGATCCTTTGATCTTAACAATCCACTTTTCTGAAAATCAAAGTTTGTTGAAAGAACCTCTGAAATACAAACTGATGAAAAAGTTACTTGAGTAAAAGTAACTGCATGTAATTTTTAATATATCTACCTCCTGTTGCCATAATAAAAATTAGAAATTTTAAGCTCATCTTTAATTTTAAGCTGATTTCTATACATAGAGGAAAATAACAGAAGAGTTTATTTAACTTTTCAAAAGCACGGTGTCTGAGAAGAAGGTAAAGTTTTCCATCCTGAGGCTTGTAATTCAAAATAAACTTCAGTACAACTTCTCAAAACGCATCATAACTTTTTTTTTTACAGATCTATAGGATAACCTTCCTTATGCTTTAATACCATTTTGAGCTTATATTGCAATGCGTTTCTTTTTTTCACTTCTGAAAGAAAAATCCAGATTTCTAGGCAAGTAATTAAAAATACAATTTCAAAATGACCAGAAGTTAAAAAGCAAAAGCATCAACAATTTTGACTTCTGACTGGTAGCTTACTAGCTAAGTGTCCTATTACCTATTCATGTCCATCAGAAATACAGCAGTCTCCTCTTCCTTTGCAAAAACAGGAAGACAACACACCATCATTTTGTACACTACACCTTGATTCTGGAAGCACTATGGCAAATCATATGAACAAGCCTATCTTACCTTCAAGTATTTTGCACACTCTTACATTTGCCCGTGTCATTGATTTTCTGTCAGCCCTCAAGGCATCTCTTTATAGGCAAATGAGTAGTTTACAGAACAACTGTTTGCAGTGATCTACAAGCAGCTAATCACAATAACGGAGAAGTGAATTAAGTGATCAAACCCACTCTAAACAAATTATGGGTAGGGCACATACAGTCTCACTCAACCAAATTCTCTGTATGCATGCTGCAAACTTTGCCCAAGTTTTCCCATTATGTAAACCCCAAGCATTTTCCTGACTCAAAGGCATTTATTAACGTGGAATGCCACCCTAACTCTTCCCTATAGCAGCACATGCATGTCTTCTCATACTTGAGTGAATAGCACAAACTGAATTCTGTCCAAGCAGCAAAGTATTGGTGATTGAAAATCAGACTGAACTAGCATTTCAGGGACTTACATTTGGCTGCCATGGTCATCATTTATTTGCAAATAAAAGGTCATTTTTTAACCCCCTTATAACTGCCAGAACTTGGAAAGCAAGGAGCTTATTTGAAGCAGATAGGTTTAACGAGAATTCACTGCCAGGGCTAGACTATAATCCCATGTCTGACTCTAAAGCACAGCCTATTAAAGCTGTACTGTGTTTTCTTTGTAAAAATAAAAATATGCCTGATTCACTCTTTGTTGACGAGACCAGGCTGTAAAATCCTCCTTCCCAACATTTCATCTCACTGGTTTCAGCATATCTGATGTACACGGATCAAATCATATCCCTGTGAGGACTCTGCTCTTCACCCTTACCACCTAGATTTCCATATCCACACAGACCACATCCATTTCACTTCCTCATTACAGTGCCTATGGGTTGCTGTCATTTACAAGGAAGAAAATGTTATTTTTAAGGATGATTTAGCATTTCTGCCTTGGACTGGGAAATGAAGACAGAATTACCCTGCAAGCAGAATGAAATGAGAATAACTTCATGTTTCCAGAACCACATTTGTAGAGCTTAAAGCCCTTTCTTTCTCTACACAAACTGAAATGTACAGGCAGGAAGAAGAGTTTATTTTTACAGTCTGTCTGAAAACTACTACTATAAAATAGCATTAAATACTCCCATGAACTGCACCTCAGACACTGCAGGAATTCCACCTGCTAGAGACAGATGCAAAGCAGATAGTTTCTTCTGAAAAACTGCCAAGCAAATTTAAAAAGCATTAGGGTTTGAGAGTGGGAAGGATCACTGGCTTATAAAAGAACCGGCCTCTTTCAAAGCTGGGTACCATGGACTGTACCAGGCACTTCACTGTGAACAGTTATAGAATAATCTGCCTTGGTAGAAGGTTTTCTCTCACTCTCAACCAAATAGAGATGATGACATCCCATATGAGTGTATCCACGCATTTGCTTAGGTCATGCCTCAAGCCATGATACCTCTATTACAAAAAACATAATCCTTTTGAACCTTATGAAGACTTTGACAACGAATGGGCTCTATTAACTGTGTTAAAAATAGTCACTATTTTATTTGCTGTCTTTCGATCTTGCCTTTACAAGAGGAAATCACAGCAGTGGTAGATGTCTCTCCTCGTGATGGCCTGATTTCTGTCATGCGTAGGAGACTACTACACTGTTAATGGTTTCATTTCAATATGGCATCTGAGTTTCTCTGCCTTCACACAAGCTCAGACACCATTTCTTTCTAAAGGTAAGTTTAAAATTATAATTTTAAAATTTGTATTTTCTCTCACAACAGAAGAATGAGAATTTTGTACTGAATACACCTGATTTTAGAAAACACTAAAATATTTATATAGAAAAGTGGGAAGATTATGCTGCATAAATTTTAAGCCCTTCAACCCTCCTGGAGGCTGTGATCAGATTAGAAAGTTATTCTTTTGACAGAAGAAATCTCTAAGAAGTTTCAGGCTATTTTATTTAACTCAAATTCTTCTGGTAACATGCCAATTACCTAGCCACATCAAATCTTAAATCAGATATTTAGAAATTTTTAGTATAGCAACTCAAAATAAGTTGATCTTAGGAAAGCATCCTTTCAAAATAATTCATGCAAATTATGGATTTTCTGTTAGTCTGAAAGTAAAGCGTGAAGTAAAAGGCTATCATACTCAGAAATTAAAGACTTTTTAGTTCTTTGAAGTAATCAACTGTGAAAGAAACATCTTTTTTGTCAAGTAATATCACTGTTCTAAGGTTATACTAAATAGTTTACTTTCTAAAGTCACCAAAGTTGCACAGATGCACTCTGAGCACTGACTGGCAGACAGACCTCAACAGATGTTCACAGGTTTTAACCCATCAGTCCAGAATACTTGTTAACTCAGCTCCAGTACCACTACTGCAGTATGATGTTTTCTGCACAATAGATAGGAAATTCTGACCTGTAAGTATGTGTTTTAACATGACACTGCTTAATAAGAGCTGTGTGCTGCTTAAAAGTTTTGTGCATTTTCTCCACAAGCCACTTATACATATTCTCCTTACAGTTTAAAAAAAAAAAGTCTCATTTTGATGTGTCAGATATATCCCATCTCCCCGTAAACTCAGTGGCAGAAAATGAGCATACAACATCAAAAGCGAACCATTTCTACATAGATATCAAAGGCCTGCTCCCAAATCTGAGAATACTTGTCATACCTAAAACTCTAACAAACAAGATTCTTCAGTGGCCTGATACAATCTCCTACATGAAGCTGATGCTAAGAAAGGGCAATTCCTCAATGTCTTAGCTGTATACTCATATTGCACATCTGTCAACATATGCTCTCCAGGTACTGTTGCTGGTTGTTACAAAAGACTGTTGTTGTTCTCTAGGTGAGAAGAGTGGAGAAGGACAAGTAGGAATGAGTTAGCATATCCCTCTTCCCATTCGATTGAAAACCACTCTCAAAGGAAGAAAGATTTTGCCTTTCCTGGTCTACAGAATGAAGCAATTGAATCACATACTCACTTCTTGTGTGTGAGGTCCAGACCACTGTTGACTATTCCCTCCACCTTGACATTTTTCTGTCCACAAATATTTCCATAACTGTCATATCCTGAAAGCAGTCTTGCAGCTGCTCCTGTAGCTATTGAAAAGCCACAGATAAAACCCTGGAGGAGAAAAAAACCCACAGTTTAGTAACAGCTCTGTTTGACAGCTGGGAAAAGTCAGTTTAATTCATTTGTTTCTAAGCAGAGGTTCTCTAAAAAAGGGAAGACAAGGACCACCCACAGAGAACTGTTGTGCAATTATAAAATTGAATGCAAGCCAAAAGAGGACTCAGACATTTAATACTACATGTTATCCAAGCATAGTTAAGAATCTTGTAGGTGTTTTTTTTGAGATCGATATTGTCAGCAAGTGGTACATGAAGCAGAAGGGAGGCCAACGGCAGGCAGTTGGAAGGAGAGCTACAAGAAAAGCTGGAGTTGTCAAGGGTTAGTATGCATCTTAGAGGATTCCAAACAGTCCAGATTTTCTTGCTTCAAGACTTTTTTTTTCTCCTTCAAATTATGTGCTTTCAAAGATGAGCTAGAAGTTCCTTTCAAGGAAATCCTCTAAAGCAAGTGACCAGGTCAAGGCCACTGTGGTTCCAGGAAGGAAACAGACACAGAGCATGGGAATGCAAAATGGTTCAGACAGAGTAATGTGGAAAATATCCCATGTCAGGCAGGTCTTGCTGTGACTTTCAGAGATATTTCACTAGCAAAACCAAGACAAAGGCGGTGATTATGCGAACAGGAGACTGGTCCAAAAGAATCATTAGCTCTCTAGCAACGCCACTGACAGAGAGAAGTGAACCATTGGCTCACCCCACTACCATCAATGAATTGTTTTTACAGATGAGGCAAGCTAAGATTTGAGAAGGGGCAGCAGAGTAAACAGCTGAGACAAATGTGTGGAGCAACAGCTGGCAGAGACACGATCAGATGAGATGATGACAACAGGTGATGAAGGCAGCATGGAACAGTTAAAATGTGGGGGGTTCTAAAGGTCTGAAGATACAGGAGAGTGACCTGCTCTGACAGACAGGCTATCACTATAGAGAAATTCCAGATAGCAAGCTGGTCATTATCTTTCTCTTACCAATGCACTAATGCACTTATAGACTTAATACCCAATCTGAAAACAAGGGCAAAGTGAGCAAAAGGTTATCATAAGTAATAATTAAAGCTGATTTCTAGCACCCACTTTCAATTTCTTGGATCCCTTACTATTCTGTAAAGGACACACTAGCATGCATTTTACATACAATAGTACTCAGGTTCTTGGCTGGTTCAAGAATTATTTTCCTACACACGGGGTAAGGGAAATCATGCAATTCCTCCCCCATCTAAGCTAATTTACAACAGTGTGGGGACGCCCTCCTGACCCATCATGGTACCTGACCCTTCAAGTGAAGTCCCCTAGAACAGTAACTAACAGGGTATTTGACCCAATAGAATAATTGCTCTATATATTATATTGCTTAGACAGGAAAATCTGGGACACTCACCCACAGCAGACTAATTTATAATGGGGGGAACGGATAGGTATAGTCTGAGTAATCAGAAACATCAACAAAGGCAGGAAAAAAACAATCACAATAAAGAGCTCCTTGTTTCAGGAAGCACTGAGCTTTTTATGATTTTAAGATATTCACATTACAGTGAGAATATAATTCATATGATTTAAATGAAACATTACCGTCTTTGCATTTGAAGCACAGCCAATGACAAACACTTTGGGGAAAGAAAAAGAAATTTTTCAGTGGAATAATTCCAAAGACCAGAGACCAAGAGACAGCAGAAAAGAAAGCTGACAGCACAAAAGAAAGCTGACAGCACAGAAGTCCCAAACTCTTAAGGGCTACTGCTTGCAACACAGCAGAACAAGAGTGACAGACATCCTCTGTTTAGGAAGAACAGCATACATAGGTCCATGAAACAAAACAAGATCAAAAGAAGTGTATTTCTAGTTTTCACTAATCTTCAGGTCTTGGAGGTTTGTTTTTTTAATATGAAGCGCACAGTGTTGTGAGGCTGTCTCAAGAAAGGTGACGGTTTCGTCACACAGGACAAAGCTGGGATAACTTGGAAAGAAAGATCTTACCATTAGTAATATGGTTGTTAATAGTAGGTGCTTCTACTAAGCATCAAAGAAAAAAAAAAGTCAACTGTTTGATATTCAGAATCTTTGTTTCTCAGCAAAAAGTTTACTGTCATTCACAGAACCGTTTACCAGACTCAAAGCTATCATTTCTGGGACATCCACAGTCCCATAAGGAACATGAGTTAAGTGATACCTCACCATGCTGAAAATCACTTACAAATGAAACTGGAGTTTCAGGGGAAGAGGAGCTGGAGCAAGAACTGGCATAAACAATACATTATGGATCCCTACCAAAGGCCTTTGATATGTACATACTACCCATTTCTGTTCTACAGCTGATGGTTCCCATGCCAGCATACCCTGACCTTACTCGCTAAGTTACTGAAGAGTTTTAAAACTTCTTTCTAATGAATGCAAACTCTTCAACCATATAACATTCACAGAATCCTTTGAGTTTTACTCACCATTCCTACGCAGAAGAGGATGAATAAGAGCAGCCATGGTACATCTGTGCAGCTGTGGTCCTCCAGAGGCTTCCACTCTCGCTTGGAGCTCTTGTGTGAGAAGAGAGAGATGGGGTTAACAACACCTTGTTAATTTTCTTCTGCTCATAATAGAAAAAGGCAGAAAATGATTCTCCAGGGCGTTACTATACAGCAGGAGTTATCTTTAAACTCTATTATAGCTGAAGCAGTCTGGGTCAAAAAACTTAAAGATGAAGACTCAGGAAAGACACTTCAAAAGAAGCACCTCTACTGGAAGCTAGATCAACAAAGAATTATTTACCCAGAAAACAGGTAATTTACCCAGGAATTTACAGGTATTTATCCACAAAACAGGTTATTTTCACTTATTGTTTTATGAACAGACAGATAAGCTAATGGCATGGAATCAACAATATCTGCTATTTCAGTCTTCCACAGCTACCTTTTCATAATCTGCTTTCCAAGAAGGATAAAAGGCTAAACTTTTGAAAAGCTCCTAAGTTTTAAAACACTATTGGCAGGTTTAACAAGTATAGTGCACGTAGAAAGCAGGTAATAAATTGCTGTTAAAGGAACAGTTCTCTACATGCCACAAGGCAGCTGAGCTTAACGTTTCAGCAAAGATATCCCTAGTCAGTATTGCCCAGGTGCCAGAAAGGAAAGTTGTGTACTTAAAGGTTGAAATATTCAGTGATGGAGGCTCTATTGCAAAGTATAAAGAGGCAGTTGTAAGCAATTCAAATAGTTTGCTGCTCATGAGGAAAAATTTCTCAAGTGTGTATACACTGCTAAGATAATTAAAGTCTGGTAAAAACAGTCATTTTGCCATCTAGGCAAAATGTTTTTAAGAAAAGAATGATTTTAAGAAAAGAATGAGCATTGGCTGTAACACGAAACTAACCATCATATCCAAATTTGTTTATTTTAACAAAATGTTGGTTATAGTTACTTTTAAAAATACACAATTACACAGACAAGCTTTTTTAATTAGTTCCTAAATACTAGCCTTTCACATATGTCTACTAAGACCCAAAAATGCACACATTGTTTTCATACTTGAGGAAGAAAAGGAGATTGATATATGGAGAATACAAAACAGCTCTCTTCAGAGACAGAGGAAAGGGCGTAACCTATTCAAACTTTGAATTTCTTTTTCCTCTCAAGACTCTGAAGCATCTTCAAGACTTTGTTGACAAGGTAGCAAATGTCAGTACTGAATTAAAACAGAATGATTGGATGAAATGTCAACAGCTTTTATCTCCAGTATGTATTTTTGCAGATTTTTATTAAAAAAAGCTATAGCATGTAACTCGTGATATTAGCAAGGTGTTTTTTTGGTATTCATTACTTTGGGTTTTGCTAAATCACAAGCACAAAGCAAGCTTTTCAAATACTACCGTTAGAAAACTACAAACTGGGTACAATATAAATGAAATCCTGCATGTGCCATGCTTCAAAATGCAGAGTTTTCTAAGTAGTCTGGCTTTGCATTAGGGAATTCGATGCTACTTTTGCAATCTTGTATTAAGGAAGTTCCACTTGCAGATGTTATATTTATATTTTTAATTAAAACTGTGCAAATTCACTCTGAGTTCTGAACAGTCAAACTTTCTATTTTACTCAATAATCAGTAGTGAGAGGTGCTAAAAGGTCACATTATGCGCTCTGCTACACTCATTCAACAAAACTGCCTTCTGATCCTGTTGGGTTCACACTTAAAACTAACACACTATTCAAACTTAACATTTACAAGAAGATTGTGACATTTATATTGTTATAATTAGCATAATCATAATTGCATAAAATATGTAAAGCTTCATGCTTCCTATTCCTAAATCCACTCCAAGAACTCTGGCTTCTTTAGAGATTTACTTTTATTTACAAACAGCATAGATAAAGTTCAGCTATAGCTACACCTTAAGCGTAAGCTGCCCTTGACAAAAAAGGGAGCAGTAAGATGCACCACATAGTGTGGTTTGTTTTGCTGGGTTTTTTAACCTCTCTGTATCATCTGCAAACAAAATCTTTTAATAGGATTTTTAAAAGCCACTGGACATCCTCTGGAATAGCTCTGGCCAAGATTTAGGTTGTCTGCCTAGTCACAGTTACCATAAGTAATCCATTTTATTTACTAAGTGGACTGCAATTTATACGTCAAAAAGAAACCTGAAATGCGACGGTGTAGCACATAGTTAGAAGGTTACACAGAAGAATTAATTTGGTGTCCATAGTCTTTACTCTGCTCCAAAACATAATGCAAAAAAAAAAAGAAAAAAAAAAAGGTATTTTAAACAAAAAGTACCCTTGGACGCAACTCAAAAGGCACTAGATACTTACCAACCTTCAATTTAACCACCTAGCATACTAACATGGTATGAAATTATACATCTTTAGAACAATGCCCTTCTCCAGTAGCCTGTCTTATCTTTCTTCTCTCCAGATCTTGCTATAACCCAAGCTAGCTGCCATTATCTATCTGCTGTTTTCTTCTCAGTTGCTTCCTTGTATTCTGGATTCCCATGGAATCTTCTTCTGTAGCTTCACAGCCATTCATCCTCATCTTTGATATTGGTGTCTATGTCTTTCTAGTGACTGCTCCCTGTTCACTCTACACCCTTAGACGTTTACTCAGACCATGATATTCACGCTTGGGCAACCCAAATTGCTTATCTATGGTCAACATAAGGTCTAACAAATGTTGTTTGTTCTGCAGTCTGGAAACTATGCTTTGTCTCTGTTGTAACTGAAATACCATAAAATTTTAGCAGACATGCTTTGCCTGCAATCCTAAATCAGCACTTCTACTGATTTCAGCCTTTTTTCCAGACAGATTAAGAGCCTTCAGTATTTGCTGATGCAAGAAAACTAGATAACCTAGAGGAAAAATAATTTTTTTTAAAATTTTTGGAAATTATTTGATTCATTTTAAGTTTTCTCTTAAAACAGAGCTTTCACAATTTAGGCTATGCTCTCTATGGATATTCTTGCCCTTAACAAAGGACAGGACTACCTGTGCACCATTAATGACAGCACAGAGAATTGGAAGCACTATCAGTCAAGAGTGGAAAGCAGGCAAAAGAGCCTGTCTCTCCAAGACAAACTTGCAGGTTGGGAACACTTTTCCTGGCCATAACAGCTCTTCTGTGCTGATTTTGAGTTATTTACTCAAGAACCTAAATTAGTGGTTCA